GAACTTTCTAAAAAGCTCAAACTTCACTAGAACATTTTACTTTGAATTTAAAAAAAAAAAAAAAAAAACTTTTTTCTTGGTCCTTAGTCTTTTCTTCTTGACACCAGTGAGTATACAAACAAACAGTTAAGAGGTAGCATAGCACTGTAATCATGGCTAAATTGATCTAGATGAAAACAAGACAAGTCCAAACAAAAACTAAGCACTGAATCAAACACAAGCATCTGGCAGGATTCCCAGAAGGTCACTAAGCTTGGACTTCAGAAAACTGTCAATGTTTCCCGAAATTTTCAAAGATCTCTCTGAGTATTTCATGGGTAAAAACCAAAATGCCCAAGAAAAAACATGGAGAAAAAATTATATTGAATTATTTGAAGTGGCACAGGTGAAAAAATTATCCTTTTCACAACCGGTAACTTCAGATTTATTTTCTTAGCATTGTAAACATATTGCTTTCAATGCTCTTTAATTAAAGAAATATTTTAAGTAAATGTCCCTGAAATTTAACTGGGATAAGTGCAACAGGTATAACTACAGTATTCCAATGGTATTCTGTAAGCTGGATTATGTACCTCTTTGTCAACATTATCTGATTTTTCAGAATGCAAGACAGTTGAATGAAAAATGTACTAAGTAGAATACAAAAAATATGAATTGTTATCCAGTGCCACCACTAACTCTTCATGAGCCCTGAGAGTGACATATCCAAACCTGTTCCCTCATTTATATTAAGCAAATTCTAACATCCCTAACCATTCTAAAAATTCTATGAGTACATGAGAATCCTATGGAAATAGTGTGTAGATAAGTTCCAGGGACTCTCTTTATAAATGACATGATTACTCTTTTCACAATAAATTTCAAACATTCTAACACAGAACACGTCTAAAAAACTGTTCTCAGGTGATTCAAATGTCCAGTCAAGTTTGGGAACCAGTGGGTTAAAGCAGTGATTCCCTAGGTGTGGTCTCTGGCCAGCCATAGCAGTATCAATTGGGACCTTATAAAAATGTTGTTCTTTATATATTATTTTCTGAGAAACTTTAAGTACTTCACTTATTCTGAGACAAATTATCCCACTAAATAAAACAGAAAAATCATAAAATGAACACCACATTAATAACCCAAATTACTATTTCCTTTTAGGATCTCACTTTCAGAGGTGAAAACAGAAGAGAGAGCTCAGCTTAAAGCATTCATTAAGGCCCAAAGTAAAATAATAGCACTTACTATGAACCAGGCAGTTTTAAGAACTTTACATATGTTAACTCATTTACTCCTCACAACAGCCCTACTGAGGTAGGCTCTACTACCCCAATTTTACCAATGAGGAAACAGAAGCAAAAAGTGATTATGTAACTTGCCCAAGTTCAAACAACTAGACAGTAATGAGGTCAGGATTCAGGGCAAGGCAGTCTGGCTGCAGAGCACATTGTCTTTAACCAAGAGTCTATGCAGAAAGTTGAGGAATTTGGTCTCATGGTTCATTTTCTTCCTATGAGACTGGACCACTTACCAGAAATAAACGTTTCAACTTTGTTTCTCACAAGAATAGTAATGAAGCAAACTAAAGAATTACCATTGCATGCTGAGAAATATAATCCAACGATAATAAATACAAAATAAAAACACATATCCATTTCCTGTGATAGGTTTTACTCATAACAGTTTCAAGATTGACCTTAATAGTAAAACCATCCACTATGGAACAAAGAGGGGCCTGAAAATGAACCTAAATGAATGCCAGGTAACCCTCATCAAAATATTTCTAAGTGAGCCAGGTTATGTAAACCAAGCACAACTTCTTTATGATCATATCTGCTCTGGACCCTACGCCTAAGAGAGGAGAATCATAAAGTCACTGTGGGGCATTGCGATATTGATCATTCCTAGTTGGCCATTCACTGCAAGCAGTGCTGCCACATCTGTCACTCTGAATTGCAACATCATAGACTCTCTTAGCTTTTCAGTTAAGTTATCCAGAACACATCATTTGATTACTGAGAGTCTGAATTTGCTCCCATATATCTCCATTTTTCCCATCAAGAGGTGTGCCTCTGACCTTTTTCATCCCCACAGCTACTCCTCTTTGCACAGTAAGTCAAATAGAAAACCCTAGTTATTATAAATTGTAATTACATTTAGTTTAATAACATTAAATTCTAATTCTAATCATTTTAATAACATTAAATTATAATTTTTAAAGTATTCTAATGAAGATCTGATTTCCTGGAGGACTTACATGCTTAGATGCTGGAACTTGCTTTATGTTTAGTCTTATAGAAGTCATATAAGATTGGTAATAGGCAGGTTACAACCTCTTGCATTTAAAGATGCCAGATGAGTCATAAAAGGCATTCTCAGTAATACACTATTCAACTTATCACTAAAATAAAAGAGAATGGAAATTAATCTCAAAGTACGGAATAATTTGGCATCTTTTTTGGCATTAATACCATAAATATTTTTCACTAGATCTACTTGGTCCTAAGAGGATAATAGAGATCAGTTCCAATCAAATAATGTGAAAGGAATTGATTGTACGCGTGTGTGACTTGAAGCATTTTGAAATTATTGCAGCTAAGAAAGAAAAGGACTCATTACCTCACCTACCCCTTTTGCCAGTTTAGGCTTGTCCATGCTCTGCGTCCTCATTTTGCTTTCTCTTATATTTTCTTGAACAAACCATGATGTAACTGGATAGGGTTTCCTTTATTCTCTTGTTAAGAACCTACGAAACACCAGATAGTACTTCTAAACTAGCTCTCCTGAAGACTACACCATGCCACTTTTAGATGCTCTCTCATTATTTGGATTTCCTTTTATAAAGAAAAGTATTCTGAGGAACCAGATTTTATGGCTATTTAAATATGAATGTTAATACATTATAAAGGCTACCAGAAGGTGAAATCCTTCACCGCAGTGACTAAAGAAAAACTAGGCTATTGATTTGAAGCTAATCTAAAACTTTTTTCCAGAAAGTTCCATAAAGTATGTAATAAAATTATAAGGATAATCTGAGGATGTCCATATAGCCACCTTCTAAGGGTGCAGTTGGTATTTAAATACAAAATCTAATCATGTATCAACACAGATATTATTTTAAGGTGTTTGAGGATTATGTGGTTTATGGTATGTATACATGAGTTTGTATTTTAAGCTAACAAATACTTAACTTACTATGCTAGGCACTTTGGAAGCATTATTTCATTTAACTCTGACAACAATGTGAATTATGAGGTAAGTGTACTAGTATGCCCCACATTTCACAGATGAGGAAAGTGAGGCTCGGAGAAGCTATGCAACTATCCAAGAGCACAGAGAAGCAGAAGAGCAGGTCTTGAACCCAGGTCTGCCTCAGACCAAAGTTCCTGTTCCTAAGCACTATCTAAATTTCCCCCAATTCTTTAAATGCAAGCTTAGTACCTAACCCTTAACAAGTCTATATACCTCAGTCACAAATTGGCACAGAAAAAAAGCAGTTTGGAAAATAAATGTTCTCTGTACAGAAAATCTTGGTAGAGTTAGCACTGTGTTCATTGCAGCACACATGTGCTGGGATTGGAGTCATGCCTATTCCAGATTTTCTTATCCAATGTCAGATTTCTAATCCATTTAAGCCCATTTGCAAAGTCATTCTATTTTTGTACTAATGGCTTAGAAACAGCTGGAACTATTTTAGCCAAAATTTTGAAATCTCAGATATCTATAAAAAGAAAAAAAAAATGGTCCACTTCAATAATCCAGAGGCCTGCAACACTGAATTCCCTTTGACTAAAGAGAATTGGCATGAATCCCTTAAACCCTCAACTGCTTTAGGAAAAGAAAAAATACTGCATATGAGTTCTGTAACCTGCACTGATGACAGTGATGATCCAGGAACATCTCATCAGGGGTCAAAGATTCCTGTTATTACAGCTGGAAGACTCATGTATATTTCTTCCTTGGCTTCATTTCAACTTTTAGAAAAGGAAAAATTCCTATTCTCTCCTAAAGCAAGTATTCAAATTCTACTGCTTAAAAATTATTCGGTGATGGTTAAGTCTCCCCTTTATAAGATCTTTTAAAGTGCCCAGTATGCTTTTTTTTAAAATATGGGCAAAACTCTACTAATAAATAACTACAGTTTTTCTGAAAAGTGGTCTGTTGCCTCCTCCCTTGGTGGAGGGAAATTTGCAGGTGTCTTCCCTGATTAAATAAGATCCAACCCAACAGTTTTCAAACTTCAGCAAGCACTAGCGTCACCTGGAGGGCTCATTAAAACACAGGTTTCTGGGCCCCAACCTCAGGTTTTAAGTTCAGTGGGTCTAGGGCGGAGCTAGAGCCCTAGATTTTGTTTGTATTTCTCAAAGTTACCAGGTGCTTGCGGCTGCTGGCCAGATGCCACACAGCGAATCACTGCCGTAGTTCGCTGCTTTCTATAGTCAACTGCACGTTGGAATCACCTGAGAAAAGTTTAAAATATGTTAATGCTCAAAGTCCCACCCCCAGAGATTCTGAGTGATTGGTCTGGGTTGCTGCTCAAGCATCGATTTTTTTTAAAGGTCCCGGAATAAGTCCATAATGCAGCAACCGTAAGGAACCTCTGGTCCACCCAACACAGCCCCAGACCCACAGCTCTGCGCGCTCAGCGCCACGTGTGGACGGATGCTGGAGACCCTTCCAAGAAGCTAAAAGCAGAGGGTGGGGTTGAGCTCAGGGGAGTAAATCAACGCACGTTATCGTACTCAGAGGCCAAACACTCCAAGGCAGGAATCTGCACCCAGAGAACCTCCCAAGATTCATTAACATGAAGTAACTTTGCAAGACAAATCCTGACATCTCAGCCTCCAGCCTGGGCGCGGAATTCACCGGACGCTTCACCAACTGCTTTGGCGCAGGGAGAAGACGGCACCCCCGGGAAACCCAAAATGCCAAATTGCAGCCACTGGAGGGCCAGCCCTGAGGCCCCCCGAGATGTCATTCTGGCAGCGAGAGGGGAGTAGGAGGTGTCTCCTTACCTGGCGCGGTATCCAGGCTCGGGGTTGCCGTCGCTGCCAGCTGAGCGTTGCACCAGGGGGACAGGTATGTTTCAGGCAGTGGCAAGCCCAACCCGAGCAAGACCTGAGCTGAAACGGATTGGCAGCCCTCCGCCCGGAGTCCGTTCTCCCTGCAGCGGCCAGTGCAGAGCGCAGAGGCTCCGAAACTCGCTCTCAGCCCCCTGGAGGCGGAGCCCGGGAGATAAGGTTCGCGGTCCCTACCCGCCCCCTTTCCTTGGCCGAGGACCAGAGGGTGGATTTTGGATCTGGACCTTGAAGGGCGAACTGCTAGTGTCGCCCTGGTGGAAACACTCAGTTCAAATCCTGCTAGCATCAGAAAATGCACGATTGAGGATTGAAAACGAGGGTGGAGGAGGACCAGGGAAGCGCGAGGAGAGAGGCAGAATAAGGGACTGCCAGGAAAGCAGGAAAGGCAACTCATTGAAAGGGCAAGCACCAAAGGAAGTAAACACGGGGAAAACCAGAGCATCGCCTGCACTGATCGAAGGAGGCCTGCCTCCCTCGCCCAAGGAGAACTCCCCTCTGGGGCATCAAGGTCCGTTTGCAGCGGACTGATGTTCCTTGCTTTTAACCAAAAGTAATAGCTGCTCCAAAACCTGAGGGAAGTTCACTTTCAAATGGCCAAGTGGGCAGTGACCTTTGAGGACTTAGCAATTACAAGGGAAGCCTCGGAATAAGGTGACAGCCTTATGACAAGATATAGATGCTGTCTGCTCTGCCCCTTTGAGTCCATTCTTCACAGAGCAGCCAGAAAGTTCTTTAACACTCATGTGCTTTCCCTATTACCTGTCACTCTTCTTTTCCACCCCCACCCCTCCTACCTCAACACAAACAAGACCTGTTTGCCCTTTCTTATACACACCAGTGTGTTCTCATCTCACTAGGCATTTCTTCTGCCTCCAAAACTTTGTCCCAGACCTTATCATAGTTGCCTGCTTCTGTCCATCAAGTTCTCCACTCAAATGACACTTTGAGTGAGTCCTTCCTGTACATCCCATCCAAATGGAATGCCCAGCCCCACTTTGGTTTCAACAGATCACTTATTGCTATCTGAATTTTTTTATACGTTTGTTGCTTGTGTGTTTCCTACCCAACTCAAGGTATGCTCTATGAGGGCAGGAAATTGGTCTTGTTCCCAGCTGTGTTGCCTGAGCCTAGAACAATACCTGGAATACACAAGGTGCTCAATAAATATTGGCTAAATGAATGTGTGAATTAATTTCTCCCCGTGGGAATAGGTTCACAAAGAAATGCCTTCTTCAATAACTAAATCTCACTTAATTCAGGTGTGATAGAAACATCTTTGAATTATCATTTCCTGAATTTCCTTATTCATTCATGTTAGATTCTACTGTTATGAAAATATGATAGGAGAACATTGCTTTGGATTTGGTAACATCTTATTAGATATGACACCAAAAGCAGAAGCAATTCAAGAAAAAGTTAGACTTCATCAAAATTTAAAATGTTGTGCTTCAAACCACACTATCTAGAAAGTAAACAGCCCACAAACTAAGAAAATATTTGCACACCATATATACAATTAGATTCTTGTGGCCAGATATATAAAAATCTTACAACTCAAGAGTAAAAAGACAATTTAAAAATGCACAAAATATTCAGACATTTCTCCAAAGAAGATCTACTATGGCCAATAAGAACATGAATGAATGCTAAACATAATTAGCCACTGGGGAAATGAAAATTAAAACCACAAGCAGATACACTTTATATCACTAGGATGGCTAAAATAAGAAAGACAAACAATAAGTGTTAGGGAGGATGTGGAGAAATTGGAACACCCATGTATTCCTAGTGGGCTTGTAAAAATGATTCAGCCACTTTGGAAAACAGTTTGCCATTCTCTAAAATGTTCAATGTAGAGTTAACATATGACCTGACAAATTTATTCTTCAGTAGATAGCCAAGAAAATCAAAAATGTATATCCACATCAACACTTGTATATGAATATTCATAGGAAAGTTACTCATAAAGCCAAAGGTGGTAACAACCCAAATGTCTATCAGCAGATGAATGGATAAGAAAAGTGTGTTATATCCCTACAATGGAATATTATTCTGCCATAAAAAGGAATGAAATGCTACATGCTAAAGCATGGTTGAACCTAAGCATGTTAACTAAAGAAGCCAGTCACAAAAAAAAAAAAAAAAAAGAAACACTTACTGTATGATTCCATCAATATAAAATGTTCAGAATAAGCACATCCATTAGAATAAGCACATTAAATCAAAAAGCCTAATACACAATAACTGTATTCTATCTAAGAGGATATGACCTATGTATTCTAAGAAAATATAACAATCCCAGTTTCCAGACTTCTCTTAAAAGTGATATGTTCATTACAACAATTATTCTCTTAGCAACCTCTGATATTTCTTTAAGTGCTGCACAGGTCATGAATTCATAGCCCTACCCTGAAAATAACTGGGAAATATTTCAAATGCTCACTGCTGAACTATAGACCTTGGGCTGCTGTTTCTAGAAACATCACAGCCCAGAGGCCCATGATTTTACAGGAGTGATTGTAGTAGTCCTTGGTTTGGGTTCATATGATAACATCACTGGGACATTCAACCTGCCAGTGTCCACATGCACTGGTTTACACATGAAACTTTGAACCAATGGGGCCAGTTAGAGGTCTCTCCAGGACTTTGGAAGGAAAGAGAGTTAGTTGTTTTCTTAGATTGTGAACTCCAAGTACCATGTAAGCCTAGATCTTCCTAGGAGAGACACCGACTGAGAATGAAGCCAACACAGAGAAAAGTAGAACTCAAGAAAGACAGAAAACAAGCTACTGACATCATTAGAGTAGCTACATCCAGCCATTACTGAAACTAGGCCTACTTCTATATATTTTCCTAGTGAGCCTTTTCTGTTTAAGCTCATTTGAATTGAGTCTCTGTTGCTGTCAACCAGAAGAACTCTAAACTGAACACCCAAACCCAATTCAGATACTGAAAGACTCTTAAGAAAACAGAAGGTCCATATAAAATCCTTTTGTATCTTAAATTCTGCTCAGACATTTTGCTTTAAATGTTAAATATCAATGCTTAAAAATGCTTAAAGAGCTTGGCAAAAATAATAACTATTTTAATAAGTTCTCTTAAAAGTCCAAAACCCCAAGGAAATTTGACTGATTCTAATTTGGTTGAGTAACCTGCAAGTCTTACTCCTGAAGGCATGTTCTTAGATCCAGATATAACACCCCAAATTGACAGGTAAAGATGAAAAAAATCACAAATATACACTGAAGTATAGTCACAGACTACTTGGAGATAATTCTTCTACTTTATCATCCTCAATTTCAGAGTCCCAAAATCTTCTGGCCAAGAGAACATTGAGTGAAATCATATTTTCTAGGGTTTAGCTCACATTTCTTATATTTTTATCTTAGGGCTGAAAGTCCAATTCAACTTTCCTCACATTAAACCATAAGTAAAAATAAGAAACTACTTTATTTCTAACTAGCTATAGAGATGATTTCCTATTAGGCCTCTTCTTACAGAAACTCTTCAAGAGATGATCCTTTGTGGTAACCCAGTGAAGAGGGAGGACAAGAGGTGGTTGGCCTCTGTGTTGAAATTGTTTATATACAAGCATCCTCAAAGCAGAGGGAAGATATATTATTTGTTAGTTAATTTATTTTGATTGAAATGTATCTAAAGTGAAAGCACACAGTAAGTACTGGTTTCCCCTTGAATTATGGTTAAACCTTGAAAATAGAGGTTTATCAATAAGGATTCTATAAACACTTGAATTCTTTACAGACATGGTTAGTAATAGGCTGGGATCAACAACAGAATTAAATTTCTATTAATTTTGAAGTTAACTTATGAGTATATATCAAAATAATTATTTATAAAGCTACCTTGGTTGGATGTGTATGAGCACGTGTAAAAAAATGGGAAATATTTGAGAATACTGAAGTTATTTGGTGTGTTTTTCTAAAAGCTATAAATATCCCAGCTCCTTAACTTTTCTTAAAGGCCTTAGAAAAGTTAAGGCCTCCTTAACTTCTCTTATTTTTATTACTCCAGCCATTCTCTTAGCAGTCCTCGATTTCTTCAAGTGCTGCAAAGGTCTCCAGCTAATTTTTCATGCAGAAAATCAGTGAAGACTACTTAAAGAAGACATCCCAAGGTATGCTGCTTGCTTTAGAAAAGAAAAAGAATCCTGTACTATTTAGTTTCACAAATTCTCATTAATTATCCCTAGATTTTTACCTGATGTAAATGACGAGTTGATGGGTGCTGACGAGTTGATGGGAGCAGCACACCAACACGGCACAAGTATACACATGTAACAAACCTGCACATTGTGCACATGTACCCTAGAACTTAAAGTATAATAAAAAAATTATCCCTAGATTTTTTTTCTGTCATGATAAGCCATTTATGATCCAACTCACATTATTTTCTTCAGGTAAATGACTCAGCACTCATTCCCTTAAATTTCACTTCTGTTTAATTTCAAACACTCTACTATACAGGTCACTTTGATTAGATTTAAGAGATATTTCATTATATGTCATATGAAAAATTAGGATGATGGATGAAATGATGTCTATGGCTCTTTCCAGCTCTAAATGCTATGGGGTCGGTCAAGTCATAATCATAATCATACATTACAAGCTGCATTTTTTATTTCTCGTGTTCTATAAGCCATAGGTAATTGAATAAATGGTCTTCTAAATTCATACCTTTCTTTTTCAATTCTGGGTATAAAATCTTTTTTTCCTAACCTTATAGAGTGATCATTGTTGTTAAGAGGGTGTGTGTGTATGTGAGTGTGTGTGTTTAGTGTTTGTATGGATTTTGCCTCAGTCTAATTGCATAGAGCGCTGTGAAGTGAGTCTTTTCTTAATTATAAGAATGCCTTTTTTATCAGATGTTATGTCTAGAACTTGTCTTCAGAAATTAGGCCACCTGCCTGCATTACATCCTGTTGTAAGGAACAGAGAGGGAAATATCTCCTTCCTGCTCTGCCAACGATTTCTCTGGCTACAAGCATACTTAGGAAGCCTTATTAGCAGCAATGGGTGGGCATGAATGCCTTGGCTCTCTGTGCATCGTATTTACAAGGATGCCAAGTTATTAAAACAGAGCAGTCCCTCTGCTGTGGCAGAGTCATATTCTGGATCCTGTATATCTGGAAGACGTGGCTTCACCCTCAATGCTTCTAAAAGCTCATGTCTGATAAGCTTTTGGGGGCTGAATCCAAGAAAGCCACAATGTACCTGGTAAGGTCCAAAAGGAACCCATCCCTGCTTCTCACCACAGCTGCTGTCTGAGAGG